GCTGCTTTAACATTTTAAAATTTTTAGTTTATTTTAGTTTGAAAGAGTATCTCACTTTGTCACCCAGGCTGGAGTGCAGTGGCGTAATCACAGCTTACTGCAGCCTCAACCTCTTGGTCCCAGTTGATCCTCCCAATTCAGCCTCCTGGGTAGCTGGGACAACAGGCAAGTGCCACCACCATACCTGGCTAATTTTTGTATTTTTTGTAGAGACAGGATCTCGCCATGTTGCACAAGCTGGCCTTGAACTCCTGACCTCAAGCAGTCTTCCCACCTAGCCTCACAAAGTGTTGGGATTACAGGTGTGAGCCATTGTGCCTGAACATTTTTTTATTTGTAGATAATAGCACTTATGACTGCTACTGTGACTCTAAATGTTTTTAGATGGCAAAGAGATGAGTTATGATAGAAAGGGTGTTAGATTATGATGCTAAAAAAAATCTGGGATGTAGGATTCTAAGCCATTTACAAAGTCAAGGTAGTAATATCTTTGTGCTTTGGTTTCCTTTGGTGTAAAATTGGAAGAATAATACCAGATGCCAGAGGTATGGTATAAGGCATAACATGGCGGTTAAGACCTTTAACCACTGTGGTGGGTGGTTAAGAGCTTTAACCAGCATGGTGGTTCAAGATCAGGATGCTGAAGTTCAAATCCTGGCTGTCCAATTGTGTAACCTTAGGCATATTCCTTAAGCTTCCTGAACCTTGGTTTTCTCATCTTTAAAATGGGGATGATAATAGTACTACCTATCCCATGCTTTTGTGAGGATTGAGTCAGACCATCCTTCAGAGGCTTAGTGCTGTTCTTTGATCTCCTGAATCTCTGCGTGTCTTGTGAGCAGAGGCAGACATTGATTACCTTTTATCCTGCACTACCTTTTCAAGGATTACCTTTTATTCTGCATTACCTTTTCAAGCTGTTTTCAAGAGAACAGCTTTGGAGGTTGAAATATATCTCCTTCCAGAGCAAAGGGTAAGTATGCTTACTACCCAGTATAATAAAGATGTCTCCCTTCAGTGCTGTGAGCAATGAACTCCTTCAACCCTGAGCAGGAGTCTTGTGTCTTCTACCAACATCCATAAAATGATGGCAGGCAAACTTGCCCATATCTGAGGAGTTTCCCAGGATGTGGACCTCTCAGTGCTAAAAGCAAGAAAGTCCTGGGCAAACTGAAATGAGTTGCTGGCAAACTGGAATAGGTTGGTCACCCTAAAGTAGGGTCAAATCTCAGAGCCTCTGCAGTTTTGGACAAGCACAGTCTTTGCCACATAGGAAGCAATCAGCAACTTGTAACTTGCATTGCTAGTATTATATAAAGAAAAAAATCTGGCATAAGTTGAAGTGTTTTCAAAATATGAAATAGTCTGTACATATTATATGACTGAATAAATTTGATGTGCTGGCAGATTTAGAAATTAATCTTAAAATCAAATCAGATAGCTATGATGAGCATAGCTTTTATATATAGAATATTGACACAAATTTTATAGATATAAAATATAAGTAACCTTTTATTTCAATATAAGTGTTTTAGTATCATTCTATTTATGAATTCTTACTGTATTAAGGTGGGTGTTTACATGTTCCTTTCTAAATTTTTTGATTGTTTTTATCTAACTTAAAATATCCCCTCTCCTCCTCTTAGGCACCATGATAACATCCCTTTGCCCTAGAGGACACTTGCCAGGGTGTGTCCTGTGCTCTTCTCTTCACTGGTTTTCTCTCTCGCTCAGGGAGCAGACACATGATTGGATCCTCATTTTGAGATTTTATTACTTGTGAGAGGCAAGCCATATATTATTTCATTGATTTCTTGCAAACTGCAGCTCACAATTCTGACAATACCAATTGATAACAACATTTTTAATCTTTTATAAGTTTTTGTAGAGGTTATTGGCACGTTACACACAAACTGACCTGATTAATTTGTTAAATCGTGTGGGTCACAGTCAAACAATCTAATTCCAAATTTAGTTCTTTATAATAACATTTACATGTATATAAGCAAAACTGGTTAATGTAAAAAGTACATGTACAAAGTAAAATAAACTACTGAAGGGATTTCGGCCTTTGGAAGAGGTTAGTGATTCCCCCTCCCCTCAATTTTAATAAGTAAAACCAGTTATATTGTTTATAAAATGAGAATTGACTACTTTTAGTCTGTATTATAGTCAAAGTTGATAAACTAGCTTCACTTTGTATGATATTCACATTTGAACTGTGTATCAGTGTAGACATAGAAAAGTCACAAATTTGAAAGATTTAACGTTTAAAAATAAGCACTATTAGGAGAGTCTAGATCCACAGATTATCTTTAGCACCTCAATCAATAGAGATAAAAATGTTACAAATTAGGTATTCTATCATATTCTTCTGCTTTTTACTGAGTGATGATGGATTTTAGTGTTAGTTTGTTGTTCCATCTATGGTTTCTTTTAGTCTATGATCATTATTTTTATTTTATAGGCAGATAGAACATTACGGGTATAAAAAGCTCTAGCATGTATCTAGTCAACTCTCCCATTTTGCTGAAGAGAAAACTGAGGCTCAGCAAGGTTGCATCATCCAGGTCACAGAATTAATTAATGGTTGAGCCTCATCAGCAACCCAGGCACAGTAAAGTTGGTGAGAATGTCATTTCCTGTTACTTTTAAAATTTCTCTTTCATATATTTAAATCTGGCCTTCACATATCAGGTCAACTAATATGAACAATAATGACTGAATATCTAATGTGGTATCTGGTGGTGAAGTGGGTTTTTGAATGTCTATGAACTGACTGCATTATTATAGGTGTTTCGGTATCTATCAGATCATATCTCCACCATTACTTATGTACTTGTTTTGAATTCTTTCTTAGTAGACGTACAGATTGTATTACATTTGGTTTCTTTTGTTAAGATCAAGAAAATATGGACTCTAGTATAGGGAATATGTTTTATGTGTATGAAATTTGTTACTTATTCAGAGATTGAAATGACTATATTTTACAAAAGATTTTAAGTACTGTGTTCAGCAAGAAAGTTTAAAGGTCACAGAGATTCTACTGTGAATAAACCATTGTTCAAGGTAATTTCCATGAATTATGTAATTAAAAATTCATGCAACTCTATGAAAGAACTACTGCATTCTATAGATGAGGCTGAGAGAGGTTGTTATTATAGATATCTACTCGTGGGAGTGAAGCTTGATAGAACTGAGATTTCAGCGTAGACATTAAGTTCCAGAGCCACACGTAGTCATAGCAATATAAAATAAGCCAGAAAGTCTGCTTATCACATAATATTGGATGAAAGAATCAACAGTTAAGAGAATAGAATTCAAATTAATCTTGGTTCAATAACTAGGTATAGATTAACAACATTAAATATAAGAGGAAAAGGTTAAAGTTATTCACCCATGGAAGAAAAGCGTACTTCTAAAACAGGAGATGAAAAAGTAAACTTTTACCAATACTGGCAGAAAAATATGAGCCAGTCATGACTTGCTCTTATAATTTTTAAAAAGTGTAATAAAAATCTAGAATTTATGAACTAACAGTTACATTTCCACCATGGTTAGAATTTGTAAAATTGCAGTTCTGTCTTTTCTTCTCAATTTATAATCCACTCCATTAGTAAAAAGCTATAACCACAAATCTCTGTGATAAATTTTTTTCTGTCTTGGGCTTTATATGAGGCTGTTATGGAACATCACTCCTAAGATCCTAGAGAGACTTTTGCCTGACAGAATGCTCTAAAGCTCCATTTTAGATCCTTCTGAGATTTTAGTACAAAATTTTATGGTCCCACCTGGATTTGATGTTTGCTCTGAAGTTCTATCTTAATTTGAGAATTTTGGAGAGGCCGAGAATAAGAAACAATTTTTAAATTGAACTCAACAAGTTTCGGTTCCTTTATATTTAACAGTTCTTCTTTAACTTTGCCTCTCCTTTATATTTTATTACCTGAAACACACTAGGGAGTAGTTTGAACAGTCTTTGTGGAAATATCCTTAGGTAGACCACATTGCATTGAATATGTTTTTGACTTTCCATGTGGACCACAGGTGACAGTGCTGCTAAACTTTTTGCTACTCCATAGCAAAGATCCTCTTTCCTCTAGTTTCCAGCAACATTTTCCTCACTTTTCTTCAAGCTGTCACTGATAGCCTCCTTGAAGGCCCAAAGGCTTCTGCTAACAATTCTGAAAGTGAGACATCCTGAAGATGCTTGCAACCGGAAGCTGTCCGCTAACCACGTTGCTTGCAGCTGATTCTCTCTTGAAGGAGTATTGAGCAAGTCACCTTCATGGTCACCACATATGACATTCATGCCAAGCCACGTTCTTGCTTCCACCAGCTTTTTGGGCTTCTCTCCCGCCATTGCCAGCATCTCACTCTGTATTTTTTGCCACACAAAGCTTGCATTACCTCAATACACCTTCAAATCACATAAAACCATAACCTATTCCAGGCTGAATTTGGTGCCTCTGAGCACCCTATAACACTTACAATACTGTAGGTACTTTCATAACACCTTTGAAAGATCTTTATTACTGTATTGTGGCATTCTGTGGTACCTGGATTAAAGTTTTAGCTCTGATACTAATTAGCTTTGTGACCTTGGCCAAGTTATTGGGCCCCTCTGAGGCCTCATCTTTAACATAGGGATAGATGAAGTCTGAGCTTCATCATTAACATAGGGATAATAATACCATTTTTCTCATAGGATTATTGGGATTACATGTGATAATACAGGTAAGTGCTTAGAAGATAATCTAGCAGAGTAAATGCTCAATAAGTATTAGCCATGATTATTAATGATCTGAACTAATGGACAGGATATATTCATCGAGATTGCTGGATTGCAGAGCAAAACTGACATAAAGGTGACTCTGCTTCATCCCTCAAAGCACTTCTGTTTTTAGGGAGATAGTGTAGATCTCTACCTTCTCAAGAGGTAGGATGTAAACTGAGTCATCAGAATTATCTTTGTCAACCTTTCCCACCTTCTGTTTTAGGTCTACAGGACAATCCTTGGTTCTGTGACTGTCGTATTTCCAAAATGATCGAGTTGTCAAAGGTTGTTGACCCTACTATAGTGCTTCTGGATCCACTGATGACTTGCAGTGAACCTGAACGCCTCACAGGAATTTTGTTTCAGCGGGCTGAATTGGAACATTGTCTGAAACCATCAGTGATGACCTCAGCCACCAAAATCATGTCTGCTCTCGGCAGTAATGTTCTACTGCGGTGTGATGCCACTGGCTTCCCCACCCCACAGCTCACATGGACCAGATCTGACAGCTCGCCAGTTAATTATACAGGTATTTTCTTAATTCAGCCCCATGATCAAAGGAGTTTACTAAGCTCTGAAGTTAACATCATGTTTTGTGTGATTTGAAATTAGCTAGTTAACACTAATAAAATATTTCAAGATTATTGGGTGCAAGAGATTTTAAAGGTACATTTTATTGGTTAGTATTCTCCTCAGTTTATCTAACTACCTAGATAAAATTAGACAATCTAAACTCTTTTTCTTAGGTAGAATGAAACAATGCAGTGAATGGATCAATGGCAGACAAGGCCTTTGTCTTGCTTCATCATCTTGGATACAGCTCACTTCAAAATGTACAACTATTACAATTTTTTAAAAAGGGCCTTTTGCTGGTCGGGTGCGGTGGCTCACGCCTCTAATCCCAGCACTTTGGGAGGCCGAAGTGGGCAGATCACCTGAGGTCAGGAGTTTGTGACCAGCCTGGCCAACATGGTGAAACTCCATCTCTACTAAAAATACAAAAAGTAGCCGGGCTTGGTAGTGCGCACCTGTAATCCCAGCTACTCAGGAGGCTGAGGCAGGAGAATCGCTTGAACCTGAGGGGCAGAGGTTGCAGTGAGTCAAGATTGCACCACTGCACTCCAGCCTGGGTGACAGAGTAAGACTCCGTCTCCAAAATAAAACAGCAACAACAACAACAACAAAAACGCCGGGTGGAGCGAAGCTTTTGTACAAGTCTCTCATTTTTGAATAATTATTTAAATAATAAATTACATGGAGACCTTATTGTGAATCAAAAAGTATAATTTTTAGAAATATTGATTATATAGACTTTTCAGATTCTAGTGTGACAATATGCATGCTTTGTACCCAGTTTCAAGAGTGTTATTCTGACAATTAAAGTGATATATTTTTAAAACTCTTCAAAATTAAACTAAAATTCAGGTTGAAATAATGAAACGTGGTGGAAATAAAGAAGTTAAGGTCTAATGTTCCTATATATAGATAGTCAATGGTCCACAGTTTCAGCTTGTGAGTTAAGTTTTGGGTTACTGGGATATTGTTCTGTGCATTATTATTCTTTAAAAAGCTTCTGAAATCAAGACAGAATGAAAATATACCCAGATATCAGAGTTTAGGATAGCAAAATTCTGATTTTTAAAAAAATTATATGTTATTCTGTAAACAGAAGAATCCATGATTTGCTAGTTTATCTAAGTTAAATATAAAATAAATCATTCCAAATACAAATGATGACTCTGCCATGCCAGAAAATGATCTGCTGTACCTCTGGCTAGAAGGATCTATGCATTTTATTACCGTGAAAACATATCATAAGCAATACTTATGTAAGGTCATATGATACACATTCTATAGAATCGCAGTGACTTAAAACTGAAAGGGACCTTTGAGATTACTTTATCTCATCCTCTTATAAATGCAGAAACAGAGGCCTAAAGACAGGAATTGACTTATTCACAACCACATGCTATTTAGTGGGCAAAAGTTTCTAAAACCCAAGTCTCCTGATTCCCAGCCTTTTATTTTTTAAAAATACTGTTCCCTATACAGACCTCACAACACCTGGCAGCTCCTAGACCTTGATGTAAGCAGTTTGCAGAACCATCGCCCACTGTCAGAGACTTGCAGGGTGCCATTTCCCTCTCGGTTTCTGTGAGAGATGCATGTAGAGCGGATAGTTGTTTCCTCCTCAGTTGGCATGGTTGCTTGAATTTTCCTTTTGTTCCTCACAGAGTATACATTTGTTTTCTTCCAGTAATACAAGAATCTCCAGAGGAAGGAGTCAGATGGTCCATAATGAGCTTGACAGGCATTTCTTCCAAAGACGCTGGGGATTACAAGTGTAAGGCCAAAAATCTGGCTGGGATGTCAGAAGCTGCGGTTACTGTGACAGTGCTTGGCATTACCACAACTCTGATACCACCAGACACTTCTGAAAGACCTGGAGATCATCCTGAGTGGGATGCCCAGCCGGGATCTGGAAGATCTACATCTAGCACATCATCATATCCTTGGTCCTCTTCCTTCTCCCCCACATCTTCTTTTTCTGCTTCTACTTTGTCTCCTCCCTCTACTGCTTCCTTCTCTTTATCTCCTTTCTTCTCCTCCACTGTTTCTTCAATCACAACTCTGAGCACAAGCATCTCAGCCACCACCATGGCCAACAAGCAATCATTCCAGCTCCACCCAGATGGGAAAAGAAATTTAAAGGCAGCAAAGAGTGGAAATAAGCTTCCTCCAGCCAGCACAAGTAAGAAAAAAGAGCTGGCATTGTTGGATCAAACAATGCTTACGGAGACAAATGCCACAATAGAAAACCTCAGGGTGGTCAGCGAGACTAAAGAGAGTGTGACATTGACGTGGAATATGATCAACACCACACATAACTCTGCAGTGACTGTGTTGTATTCCAAGTATGGTGGGAAGGACCTGCTGCTGTTGAATGCAGACTCCAGCAAGAACCAAGTAACCATAGATGGCTTGGAACCTGGTGGGCAATACATGGCCTGTGTCTGTCCAAAAGGAGTGCCTCCCCAGAAAGACCAATGCATCACCTTTTCTACCGAAACAGTAGAAGGAGATGATTCTCAATGGTCTCTCCTTCTCGTGGTGACCAGTACTGCCTGTGTTGTTGTCTTACTATTGATTTGTTTCTTGTTGTACAAAGTTTGCAAACTGCAATGTAAGTCAGAACCTTTTTGGGAAGATGATTTGGCAAAAGAGACTTATATCCAATTTGAGACCCTGTTTCCCAGGTCTCAAAGTGTAGGTGAGCTCTGGACACGAAGTCACAGGGATGACTCAGAAAAATTGCTGCTTTGTTCGAGGTCAAGTGTGGAATCTCAGGTGACTTTTAAAAGTGAAAGTTCCAGACCAGAGCATTATTGCTAAGGTTGTGCAGCTCAGGTGCATGTGAGCTACAAAATTAGCATCTAAGGGTATAATTGACCCTAGGTTTGGATGACTTTTGGACAGACTTTCACATTGTGTGTGAAAATCACAAATGGAATGCTTTTAAGTGTGTTTAAAAAATAGCATGAGACCTCTGAACTGAAAAGACAAATAACGTTGATTTTTTTTCTTGTGTGGAAAAGGTCTACAGAAATAATTTTTAGAGTGTTGCATACTAAATTATTAATACTTTTTAGGGTACTGTTTTAGTTCTTAAAAATAAGTTCATATGAAAGTAGCAAATGAACTCTGTATTTAAAAATACAGTTTTTTGAGTAACGAGGAAACATTAGCAAAACCAGCTAAGCCTTGATGTTTATTCATGTTCGAAGTGCATTATGGCATTTTCTGTGGACGTTTTCTGACGTTGCCTAATGGAGAGTGTGGGATCACAAAGGATTTTTTGTTCACTAAGGTTAAATCTAACTCATGGGGGAGGGAGGGCTCTGTCTCTTCATACCATTATACATTGTAATACTATAGAGTTGTGTTCATATTGCATGTAAGAAAAACGTTTGCTTTTCTTTAGAAATATAGGTATTAGTAAAAGTAAGTATACAAAGAGGATTATGACAAATAGACCATTTCTTTAAAAATGGTAACTGTTGCATTGAAACACATCTGCTGACAGATAATATGGATATTTAAAAATAACTTTAAATCAGTCTTTTAATATTTTGCTATTTGCTCTTATTTTCTCTCTTCTTTCTTCCTTCCTGGTCTTCCCTCCCTTTCCTTCCTTCATTCCTTCTTTCTTCTGCTTTGTCAGAAGATATACAAGTGGCCAAAGAATCACAAGCCAAGCAGTTTGTCTTCTGCCATATTATCTTTTGATTTCTGTGATAAATAAAAAGCTTTTGAAATTACTTACTGCCCTTTGAAAGTCTGTTTTAGAGCCCCAAAGGATATTTGAGAATTTTGAAAGGGAAGCCTCAGTAGATTCATTTGGTTAGACTCTTTTCCTAGGTTAAAAACATCGGGGAACTTAAATACATAGGAAAGGAGTTCATAAATAAAATTTAGTTTTTTTAGAAAGGGAATATTTTAATAACTGTAGTGTACTATAAGAGACATCTTGTGGCTTTAAGATTAATGATAGTGATAAGACCCACTCAAGCATCTCACAGGGCTGATATTACATGCAACTTAGCAGGATGCAACCTGGCCCAGTGATTTCCAGGAGACAAGGACACCTCAGCACAGATGCAACTTTCATAAATCTTAGAACAAAGCCTACCCTTACTAGATTAAACCTGCTCTATGAAAGAAACACTTGGTATTTGACCCAGACTGAATACATATATAAGAAATGGGAAAGATCTCCCAAACTCTGAGAATGGTCCTCAAATAGAAGCCCTCCTAGTCAGTTGGTCATCTGACCTCTGACTATATCCGGCCCATGACACCAGCCAACTCCTGCTTTCCTTGTAAGAGGATGAAATTTAAGTAAGTCAATGAGTGATGACACCCATTTCTATAGGAGGATCAAGGGAGAGTGGCCAGGGCCTGGCTGTGATCGAGAGATTGGGTGAGATCTGAGGAACACTCTACAGTGTGTCTGGCAGTTTTTGTTCTATTTTCACATCTGTTGCTGCCTTCTACCTTCACTTCATGCCTCTGTTTTGGAGGTAGACACCAGGCAAAATTTGCCAAAATTACTTTTAAGACCACTCTGGTCCCACAGGAAGGTGGGCTCCTAGGAGGAGGGTGGTAGGAATGCTGTAAGCTGGGGGACACCCTGGGCTTGAAGAGCCACCCACCAACTGGTGTGTCTCTAGCCTCAGCTATGGGAGAGGAGCTCCCCGTCCCCAAAGGTCCTGGCATCATGACCCCACAGACCAAGAAGGCTCAAGTACAGCTTCTCCACAGAAAGCTTATCTGTTGCCCGCCAACCAGGGAAAGAGACTTCTCCAACAGACCCCTGGTCTAATGCTGTTAGCAAAGTCACCAAATCACCAACAGGCCTGTTGCTGCTATCTCTGTTCCTCTGCATGCTCCCAGTGAGACAGTGCGGCTTCCCCAGGGCTTTACCACCCCTACAATGCCTACTGGGTGCTGCTGGCAGCAGCCCATGCGCAGCACATCCAAATCACGGGGCTCCCTCACCTCAGAGTTGCCACTCTGCACCTGGCTGCCCTGGAGGCCTGTGAGCTGCTGCGTGATCATCCTGAGTGTGCCAGATTACCCCCAGTGGCACCACAGGCATTGCCAGTCACCTCCTGGCCACAGTTAAGAAAGCAGCTGCCACCTCCAGAAACAGCTAGGGTGAGGAAGAATGAATCCCAGATCCCAAAGCAAGCACTCTCTCTAGCAGGACTGGGTTAGTAACCATCAGAGTTGGTTGTTACAAAGTGAGGTTCCTCCTTGTCTTGGCTCCCTTTGGCACACTCCGCTTCCTTTTCCACTTCTCTGCCATGCTGTGACATGGCAGAGGCCTCACTGGAAGCTGGTCAGATATAGTGGGTAGATCTTTGACTCTTAGGCCTCCAGAATTGTGAACCAAAGTAAACCTCTCTTCTTTATAAATTACTCAGTGTCCTGTTCTGGTGACTCTCCCTTACTCCTGTCCATTCTGTTATGACCACAGAAAACAGACTAAGGAAATTCTTATGGATAGAAGATGCATTCTTACCTTAAATCTTAGAAACCTCAGCATATGAGGGTTTTTTTTTTTTACCTTATTAGGTCAGGAACTTTCACCTTTTCATGTAAAGGAAGCACTTGACAGCTTCTCTTTGGCATATCCAAGTTGCCTGAGTCACTATTCTTGTGCTTTGGGACCACTGTCAAGTAAAATAAGTATTACTGGAACGCAAGCACCGTGATACCACGACGGTCCATCTGATAACCATGGCGCCTCCTAAGTGACTGATGGGCGGGAAGTGCATGGTGTAGATCCTCCAGACAAAGGGGTGGCTTACATCGTGGGTGGGATGGAGCAGGATGGCAAAAGATTTCATCAGGCCACTCACAGCCACACCTCCTGGAAACACTCAGAGCCCTACTTGCGCTTGGCAGCCGTATGAAACAGACAAAACCTGAAACTCTAGCTTGATTGGACCACCTCCAAGATCAACTTAAAATTTATGAATTGTTTATTTGTAGATTTCCCATTAAAAATTTTCGGACTGTGGTTGAAATGGGGTATCTGAAAACATGGAAAACAAAACGTCAGATAAGGGGGTACTACTGTAGGCCCTTTGACACAGGCAGAAATTCGAAGCCCACTCAAACACCTGATGCGGAGGCCCAGCAGGAAAGGTGCCACCTGGCTGTACTGTGAGTACTGAACAGGAAGGGTCTACAATTCACAGGCCAAGAATACAACAGCTGGCAGCTATCTCCAAAGATGGGAAGATTGATTTCATTACTTAACGATCCTATCAAGTTTATCCAGGAAGCACAGTCAGGTGGGACTCTGGGCCCAGATCAGGCAGGCGTGACAGAAGCTACTCCTGTGCTCTGTCGCATTGACTGTTTATGGCCTGGCAAGCAGCACACTCCAGCATGAGCCTCCTTACAACCAGGGCTGAACTGAAAGTGGATGATGTACCTACCACAAAGGAAGGAAGAGAGCTATTGAGACATTTAGGTGTGCTCCAGTGGGTTTATACACCTTCCGTCTTCACAGGACAGAGGCAACACTCATAGCCCTTAACCCCAACTTGAGTCTATCTGGTCTATGAGGAGCTACCTCGTGCACAAAAGCTTCTCTACCTTCACCTCACAGACACATTTTGGGCCCAGGCACTGCCTGTGCACCTCGTATCAGGATTATAAGGGCCCCTGCCCCATCAGGCCCTCTTGGACCAGACATAGACTTCTCTACCTGCTGGGAGATACCTTCACCGTTAATACCCAGGATAGCCATGGAGACTGGGCCACCCACCTCGACTAATTGCTACCTGGCATTTGCCTAGTAGGCCACCCCCACCTCAGTTTCTATGGCCTGCACCTCCTGGAAACCTCAGTTGTGCTGGGCAGCCATCTGGGATGGACAAGACCTGAAATTCTGGCTTCACTGGACCACCTCCAAGATCACACTTTTGCATCTACAACATCCTCCAGTGCATAGTGTCTGCAGACATTACTGCTTAGTTCTGAGTTCTCCTGGTCCTCCTCTTCCATTCTGGCCTGTCACTGCTCTGCAATTAAGCAGCTCCAAGCCTGATACTGCCAAGTCCATTCAACACCTTTTATATCCCTAGAGCCATTTTCCAAGCCCCAATGTTCTTGCTGTCTTTCACTGCTCCAGGTGGCCCGACATTTCACATCAAGATGTTGCTTCTTGAGACCTATTCACTGATTACTCAGCACTGAAGTCACTGACAATTTCCACAACAGGGTCATTTTGCTCACCCACTGAGCGGCCAAACCCGGCTTGCTGCGCATCCCTTCACCAACCTTCAGCCACTTGTCCACTCTTCACAGTCAAGCCCTGGTTACTGTCAACTGCCCCTCCTTTGCCATTGGTGAGACTGCCACATATCCATGGTGAGACTGCCCCCTATCCATGGTGAGACTGCCCCCCATCCATGGTGAGACTACCCCCTAGCCACGGCTGAACCCTGCTCTCATGATCTCCCCTAATTGCTTAACTGGATGCTGGACTTGCCATACCCCCTCTGCCGATGCAGTTCAGCTCCCACTAGGTGGTTCCAAGGATGCCTCTCATTCCTGTCTTACCTTCATAATATGCTTTCTGCAGGACATCCCAATGCTGATTGGGGTATCTGGACTCGCTGGCCGGGCGCCCAAAGAGGGTGGCCCAAAGAGGGTGGAGAGGTCCTGTTCTGGTGACTCTCCCTTACTCCTGTCTACAGTCTCACCTACCCCCTTCTTGGATTCTCTTACCTCTACCCTGACATGGGTAGAAGTCCCGCTAGTGTTCTGGGCCTCCTACCGCTTCCCTTTCTTGATGCCACAAGCATGCAGCGGGGGGAGTTGTGGCTGCCATCTTGCTAAATATTATATTCTCATTACAAGGAAGATTTGGAAGTATAGAATAGATTTCTAAAGCTGTGTCAGCAGTCCTGAAGTAGAAAATTTAATAATTTTTAAATTTAAAATAATAAGAAAATACAACATTTTGTGTAAGAAACAGATGGACTTTAAGGTACCACTTTCTAGAAATTATAATACAAGCAGTTGTAGAATGGAAAAATTGTTCATTCTAAATCATTCTTAATTAAAAAGAAAAAATAATTCTAGTTTAGGCATAATCTGTATGAATGGATAGCCTTCTCAGAACTCCTCCAATTCCCCTTCTTATATAATTTTCTTTCCTTTCCTTTCCCTCCCACCTTCCTTTCTTTTTCTTTCTTTTCCTTTTATTCCTTTCCTTTTTTCCTCCCCTCCCATCCTCTCTTGTCTCCTCCCCTCCCCTCCTCTCTCCTCTCCTCTCATTCCATCTCTTTTCCTTTCTTTCAGGCCTGGTTGTCCTTGGTGCTTTCATAACTCAGTGCTTTGTCTAATGAGCTAACAGTTTTCAATTCAGTATTCATTGTGTCAATTAAAAAAAATATCTTTTGCAGACAATTTTGTGTTTAGCTTGAATTTATTTTAGATCAACTTACTTTAAATTAAATGGTTACAAAACTTTTATGTCCTTACTCTGCTATAGATGTCATGCAATTTCATTGCCATGAATTTAAAAGGCCCATAGAAACAGAATACTAAAATACTACCAATATTGGAAATAATATGACTGTATAATCTTACAGACTACTGAGCCAAATGGTGGATATGGAAAGGTGCCTGAATTGTACAAAGGCAGGTTATTTGTCAAGGCAGTTTACTTGGACCATCCTCATCAGATAAATTACTCACTGTCCTCATAATGAAAATCAAGCAAAGCCTGGACTTAATTTTGATGGAGTGAAAAAGCTAGTTGATGATGCGGAGGGGGATACGAACCTCAGGAGAATGCACCTGGATTATTTCTCAGCTTGGTTTTGATACATGGGGTGTGTTGCAAGTAATTTATTACTAATGGTGAAAGCACTAAAATTGCACATGATCTGCCTTCTAAAAATACATACATTTGAATGTAGTCAAGGTTATCTCGATGATATCATTGCTCTCATGTTCTTACAACTATGTTTTCTTAAGTGAGAGAGAAAGACTGGTGTTAGCAAAAGTAGCAAGGAATGCCACATAATCAATAGCTTGTTTATCAGTATCCCCAGAAACATTGTAGAGAGCAAGCCTAACTAATATGTAGCCAATATATGTGGCAACTAAAAATGATTACAATGTTTTATTTTCAGGAAAAATGTATTTGAGTTTTGTGAAAATTGTGGTATACCAGTGAGAGTACATCACCTGTGAGACTATTATCAATAATATGCTGTATGAAAAATTGTGAGCATTCAAAGCTCTTATGGCCAGAAAAGGGAACCCCGAATAGAGTCAGGCAAATACTCTGGCTTTGA